CTCTTCGCCACCGATCCAGCCGGTCTACTGTCAGACTAGCCTTTCAGGCCAAACTAGGCTAGGTCTGGCCGAAGATTGCGACAAGATGAGCGTTCTGGTCGAAGAGATATCGGATTCAGAAAGTGACGCTCAAGCAAAAAGTGGGCCGCCTCTAAGGGCCAACGAGCTACTTGATTTTATTACACATACACTTAAAAACATCGCTCTTGTCATATTTGCTCATCGGGTGGCAAATCTTACACGGCCTAGTAACAAAGAGGCTTTCCGATTCTCTGACACAGCCGATCAGATCTTTAACTGGCTGGCTCAAGATCCGGCTGATCTAGCCTGCCTTTTATCTAGTATCCAGAACACGGCTGTTGAATCTCTGTCCTCTTCTACATCTCTATCACCTTCGCCATCTTCACCTCAGATAGGCCAAAAAAGTGGAAATGCGAGCTGGTATTCAGGCTTAGTTGATAGGTTAGGCGAGGGCGCTACCGCTCCATCTTCATTGTTGAAGGCCAGATTAGAATTGGTTCGTAACCGAATTGCAACTGCCTCTCAGAAGCTGGAGAATGTGCAAACATCGATTGAGGCCCCGCCAACAGAGATTGTAATGACGTGTTACCAGCTGACTCGAATGCTAAAGGCTTTGAACACCGAGGCTATCAAGTTGGATGAAGCCTTGTGCCAATTTTTGCCCGTACCGACTGTTCCTCAAGTCAGTTCGTATATGGGACAACCAACTTCTATTATTTCTGAGTTTAATGAACAAGAAGACCCATTGGAAAACGAGAAACGATTTTACGATACTCACTATACCTTGCTTGAGACGCAAGTTCGAGCCACTCTTCAGTCTTCAGATTTTTCTGAGCCCTGTCTGAATACTGAGTCTTTTTCTGCTTTAGCCAGACTCCTTTCAAACCTGGAATCTCATATCGCCCACAAAATCAAAAGTAAATCCCTATTTATGCAAGCCTTGGAACAAATGAAAGATTCTAGTGATCCGGAGATAGGCAACAAACTCTTCACCCCTTTGCAGGCTGTCCACAGCATGCTAACGGATATCGGCATGGCTTCGTTCATCTGGACTGCGCAGACTAACCCATTAGATATCAATGTAGATCTTCGTCACCGCTTTTCTGAGGCCATCAAAAGCGCCAGATATGAAAGTCTCATAAAATTGGTGAAACCAGAGGCTCCCGTTTTGAGGCATGATCTACTCTGGGCTTTTGTTGATAGCATGGTCGACCTTCTTGCGCAACATGGTTATGCATTACAG